TTCCTAAAGAGCTACAGGATGAGCTACAGTATGCATACAACCGCACAACTCCCCAGCCGCAGTTAAGGACGTGTAAGGCCACAAATACATCAGCCGTTAGGGAGGGTTTGTTTCATTTCCACACCTTCATGACACCAACGCAGATTGTTTTCCACTTTGTTTCACTACAGTGGAGCAGAAGAACCCTCTGCTGCAGCTCAAACAGGCAGGACCCGGAATTGGTCGAGTAAAGCGTCGCTACAAAAGAAAAAATGCAGCGAGCCCCGTGAAGAGGCGCTCAGCGACGAATAGCCCCGCCAAACCTGCATCACCTCTGAAAACGTCACGGGAAACATCGAACACAGTCAAGGTAAGCTCATTACAACAAGGTAATTGTTTGAAGCTGCTAAAGTGACAGTGAATCTCTTCACGTGACACGTTCGTCTTATTTCCAGACTGAAAACAGACCTTCTACATCGTCCTCCAAACCAGACGTTCCAGAACCACAGCCTAAATTCATTCCTCGTCCAGCTCCATCGTTAGCCGGAGCCTGTGAGCTGACAGATATTAAAATCCTCCTGAGAGAATGGATCACAACTATAACAGGTACATGTTCAGCAAAGTGCAGCTCTGAAGCAGCAGCGAAATATGGATTTATTTATGTTGATAATATGATGTGATTTTTTTTTTTGTAGAACCTATGGAGGAGGACATCCTGCAGGTGGTCAAATATTGCACTGATCTGATTGAGGACAAAGATCTAGAGAAGCTGGATTTGGTGATCAAATACATGAAAAGGTATGAAAGTAACTTCAGATAAAACGACCCAGCTCTGTGCCATACCACTGTCAGTTGTTACAGTTCACATACCTTTAACTTTGCACGTCGGTTTGCAGGCTGATGCAGCAGTCGGTAGAGTCCGTCTGGAGCATGGCCTTCGACTTCATCGTGGACAACGTCCAGGTGGTCGTGCAGCAGACCTACGGCAGCACACTGAAGATTACGTGATGAATGAGGGATACTGCAGATAAAAAGAAGCTACAGGTCAAACACCCTGACTAGTTATTATTATTATAGTAGCTTTTTTTTTTAATGCAGCATTTTCTTTTGTGTTTTTTTTGCCAGGAAATGTCAAAAACCAATTCCTTTCATATAGAAAGGTTTAAGGTAACATCAAAGACAGTATGTTACTGTTATTTGAACATTAAATCTGAACCAGAACAGGTATCATTTTTAAATTTAATATTTACTTTTTCCATCTTTCACTTTGCTGGTTCACTTATATGCTTGGGGCATTAAGGACAATTGAAAAGATTCTCTTCACATTTTGTACTCTGTAGCACCTGCTCTTCAAATCTGTCAAGGAAAACAGTCGTGGTACTTTTATTTAGTTTCTGTTCTCTGAAAGAGAAAAGCACACAGTTTCTGACGCTGTCACGAGACCCTTGTTCAAATCATGCTGGAATTCCACTAGTCTAATTCAAATGTGTCCTCCAAGTGGACTAAAGTTTGGTATAATTTTACTTTCTCATTTTCTGAAGTGCCACAATTTGTCAACACAAAATGTGAATATTGTTTAAAAAGACTTTTTTTTTCTTAAAGTATATATATGTAGAGGACTCGGCGCTCCTCTTGAATTGTTTACATGTAGTGAATTCTTAGTAACTTTCTTAAAAATTGTAAAATCTTCTCTCTAACTGTGTGTACTTAACTCTTCCTACGTGGAAATCAGAAGCTGGCCAAAGCACTTCACTTGAGATTAATGGTTGATTCTCAACAGAGCTCTGACTCCAGAGCACATCAACTGGTTTGTGGCAATCAATAAGTAGCCTATGCATCTTTTTTCAAACAATAAGATGTGCCCAGAAGATAATGCTAAATTCAATATAACCTTTGTACTTGGCGTATATATTCAAGCCTGTTAGGCTAGTTTTCATAAATCTGAATGTAGAAATACTCCAGTGTTTGCAAAGGAAATGGAGTTGAGATTTTTAACAATGTAATCCATCCTGTGCAATCCTCATGCTGCGGGCCATTGTGACTTCTTTGTGACTGCTACATCTTTGAATTGACTGCCATTGTTGATAACGGTTTAGTAGAAGTATTAAGCCTGATTACACGCTGGCTCATTGTATTATGACACAAGACATGACGTGTGTGTTTGCAATGTTTATTCAAAACAGTATTTCGATATGCAAACCGAATCAGGTTGCCATTTTTTTTAGTTGTTGAAATGACTAATTCATCATGTGCAGAAAGTCTTTACCCACTTTTTAGATGTTGCTTTCCTTCACCACATCACTTCAGAAGGGAATGGCCAGGAGCTGAACTCCGCCAGTAATGTCTTCTCTAAAATGGCCTGTGCCTGACGACCTTAAGCTGTGAACTTGTTTGTATGTTTTCTAAATCTTGGTAATAAACTGTAAACTGTTAAAACTCAGTTATCTTGGTCATTATTCTAGGCCTATTACCCATCCTTGTAAAAAATGATACATGAGTTAGGAGGACAGGTACCAGGATAGGTTTAAAATGTAAATACCTAATAACTGTAACTGTATTAAATGTACCTTTTTTTTTTAGTCCATTTGAAGAAAATTGTCTTTTTTGAAAAAGCCGTGTTGAGGATCAACTTTTTGTTCTGGTGATAGCTAACAATTCCATTAGTCCACAAAAACAGCACAAGGGAAATATAAAACCAAATGTGCAACGTTACAATTTGTAACTGCAATAACCCACACAATGTAACTTTTTTGATTTTGATTTTTGCTATAACAAATTATAGAGAAATCAAACATTTTTGAAGAAAGAATCAAAATGTTATCTTTTCTGCATGTTGGAATTTTTTCGACGAAGTCCTAATCTTTCAGCAAAATACTAACTTTGCATTCTTGAGATATATATATATAAATGATATATATAAGATATTTATATATATATATATATATATCAAGAATGCATATACATATATACACACAACTTAAATTATTTTGTATTTAAATCATTTATTGTTGTAGATTTTCATCAATTAGTTTTTCTGTTACAGTTGTCAAAGCA